CAAAGCTCTAGAATAGGGTATTGCAGGTTACAGAACTGAATGGAATGGAACGGAACAGAACAGAATAGAATAGGGTATTGCAGGTTACAGAACGGAATGGAACGGAACGGAACAGAACAGAATAAAATAGGGTATTGCAGGAGTTACAGAACAGGGCAGTCTAGAACTTTGGAGGTCTAGAACAGGGCATTCCAGAACTTTGTGGATGTTGCCACATGGGTAAGCCTAAGTCAGTGAGAATAGGCCAGTGGGAGAGGCCTGGGATTTATAACCTTCCCTCACCAGCAAATGCTTGGGGGTGGGGAGACTTTGTGTGCCGAAGGGGAATAATGTTCTTTGAGAGATTCTCACATTGCCCTTGTGACTGGATGTTAACAAACTCAGGTGGAGAATGCAGTGTGAGTCATGCTTCTTCTTGCCTCCTGGCTTTCTTTTGTAGATTTCCAGTTATGACATCTCCCCCAATTACGGCATCGTCACTTTTGCCACCCACAGCAAAGAGATTTTGAACACAATGAATCCAAACAGCAGTGATGCGGCCTGGGTGATTGAACTAATGGAAAAAGTCAAACTTACCGGTAAGGCATATTCCTGATTTTTGCCAGGGAGATGGTTATTGTGTGGTCTCATATCCTTTCTATCAGAATTGTCCCAAATACCTACCCAGGGACACTTAATAAACCAATCCACCTCTAGTTTTTGCATTTTCTCTTGTTATCTTTCATTCTGTTTAGGGGAACCATAACAGCATTCTTCCAATTGACAGGTGCTGTTTCAGACTTCCTGCAATGAAACAAGACATTCCATTAGCAAAACGCGTCCATATTTTTACAATTCTCCAGTTACACCATCTACACCTGCAGCCTTACCATTTTTCAGCATTCTCACATTATTGATGACTTCCATTCAATGAAGTTTTTTTTTTGAACAGTAACATTTATTACATTCATTTCAAGTCCACTCTTTGACATATCACAGTCATACCACATGAAGCTTCAGTATAATCTTCCAGCATTCCTCCCTTCGTTTTCATCCCAAATCATTTCATCATTTTTTGTTTCTAATCACATTCAGGGCCTTGTTTAGAGCTCTTTACCTATTCTCCATATTTTCTTTGCACCAAAATTGCAATTCCTCTTTTAATCTTCAATATTCCTTATCATCCTTAACCATATTATTTGCAACTATTTTTTAATCTCTAAACACATAATAAAAGAGCTATCTCTCATATTCATTTTTACAGCAATCATTCTCTAATACACATTTTTCTCATCCACAACCTTTTTCATTTCATAATACCACTAAGAAGCCTTTTTCATACTTCCAGTAAATAACTTCACACACTTACATGGCACTCTGTAACGTTTTCCATTCTATTCCAAGTGGCTTCTGCCTCCTTAAGTCTTTTTCCTTACATTCCCTTTCCAATCATTCTACTGGGAATTGATCTATTTTCTAATTTTTGTATACACCACTAAGATATGATCTGTCTCAAGTTCAGAACCTCCCATCCCCCTTGTATCCTTTACAAATTATCTGCTTTTGTCATAAAAATGACAAATGACAAAAATCCCTTGGGACAGGATCGCGCCTGTGCATCCTCTCTTGGCCCATCACTCCCGGCGCTCCCCGTGGTTCACGGAGGAGTTGAGGGAGCTGAAAAGGGCTAAGAGACGGCTAGAGCACCG